AAACTAACTTTCAAATCCTTAGCATTCATGTTTTTTATTAGGAGCAAATACTAAACCCAGGCTTAAATTGTATAATTTGTGAAGTAAACCTCGTTTAAAGTGCTAAAAAAATAAATAAAAAATAACGTATTATAAAACTAATATATATTACATAGTTTTCTTGAAATAATAACTATTCAAATATTCATACAATATTATGATTATTGTACCAAAGGGAAATATTGCAATAAAATATTCATACCGTGTTGAATAAACTCCCAACAATCGCGTTAAATTGTAAACTTCGCTACAACAGGGGTAACTTTCTTGCGCGTTTTCAATGTCTTTTGTTTTATTTGATATACCTAACCATTACAACAATAACTGTTTTAAAATGATTTATTTTAAACAAAATGAAACAATAATCTATAAACACGTACAGTCCAGGAAATCCCCGGTGTTCCACTTTTGCAACAAACTCCATCTCTAACAAATAACCAATAAGATAGCAGTGAGTTGCAAAAGTACCACTGACCGACCTTTTTCGTACAAGCACATTTTTCAAAAGCTGCGTCCTATTGCTCATTGTTCTGTGCCGTCGACTTAACGTGTACAAAACGTTCAAATGATTGTAGCTTTTATGGTGGAGCACCAACAGATTCCCTGATTGTACTTTCGGTACATGAATGTGGAGACACTGCCAAATAAAATCTGGTGCTTTTCTTTCCTAACAAGCGGTTCTTTTAAAATTGTTTCATGTAATGTAAGTATTTCTGACTGCAAATTCATTTCTTATTCACGTAAATTATAATTATGATCCAAGCATAAAAATATCTTAACCCAGAACTGCATTGTCACTGCATAATACGTATCGTTATCTCCCTTAACAAAACAAAGGCTACAATAAGTATTAATAAAAGTGTAATTTAAACCCACAGTTAAACAATAAATTATCACATTACCAGAGACATTTTCTTTAATGGAAAGAAATAGCGGAATTCCGCATTCGCAGTTTAAAGAGAATCCCGTAAATTAAAGTAAATTGGTGACTAAAGTACCTTTGAGATATTTTCTCTCCGTAGTCATTATTTTAACAAGGGTTTTAAAAAGCTCGGCATAGTTTCATCTAATTAAATTAAAATAAAATTATCATTCTTATATTCTTCAAAATCTTTTATTGGTTCAATAGTAAAAAGGCTGATCAAGAAGAGAGAGTGGATACAATATCACGTACATTTATTTTCTAACTGATGAGATAACTTTAATTAATAAATCTTACTAATATTATAAATACGTATGTTTCGATGTATGTATGGATGGATAGATGTTGGGTTAAACGTATCTCCAGAACGGCTGACCGTATCTCGATGAAATTTGGCATAGATGTACTTATAGAACACAGTATGGAAGACCACATAGACTACTATTTATATTTTTTAACTCTGCATGGGGTCGCGGACAACCAATAATTAATAATATTTCAAAAACTTCAATGTTACTTTCTACTATAAAGTGCATAATTATAGGTTTAGGATAGAGGGGTAATCTTAAACATCACTACACATCACCAGATAGCGATGTCGAAAAGTGAATGACTTTGATGATGATGAGCTGTCGCCCGCGACTGAATTAAAGAAAAAACCTAATAAGTAGTCTATGTGTTCTTCTAAGGTATGTTCTTTATGTATGCCAAATATCAGAGAGATATGTTAAACCGTCCCAAAGATATCTTCAAACAAACATTCATCCATCCAAACATTCGCATTTATTATATTAATATAATATTAGTATGAAGTAAGATTGCTGTTATTGTTTCGATGAAACTTAAATAAAAGTGGAAACAAAGTATGACATGAAATATAGAGCTATAGATTCAAGACAGATACTTGAGAATAAAACATCACAAGTTGGACGTCGGGGGCTATTTTCGCACAAGTTATCTGAGTAAACAAGAACTTTTAACAAGGTAAGTTACGCTTACGTCTGCCGTTGTTAAGGTCTATTGCTAAGAAAAACATGTTTTTTGCATGGAAAAGTTAAATCAGTTTTTTTTTGTATAAGTTACAATGATTGGAAATAAATTGAATCACAATTTAAAATCGCAAGAAGGATGATAATTACAAATTGATTTTACTTTAGAAAAATTATTATAGAATAAAAACCAAAATGTTCATTTAAAATTCAGCTTCTAGAAGTATCAATAATTTGATCTGCCTGAAACATAGAAAAAAGTGTAAAAATTTAAATACTACTATCTTATCTTTCTTCTTTCTACTCTTATAAATGTTAATATTTAGATGGATAGATGTTTGTTTGAATGTATCTCCAGAACGGCTGAACTGATCTCAATGAAATATGGTATATATATATATAGAACATTCTTTCACAAAGTGGTTGATAACGCCCCTTGTGGGCGCTGCAGGTCTCAAGTTGCGGGTTATAGTAAAAGTTTCGTTTAGAATTCTCCGTTAATATAGATATATAGGTCACAATAATTAATTAATTTAATTTGAAGTTATAGTGGTTTTTAAATATGTGAAAATATAGGGGCGCTAAAAAAATATTTATTCACAAAGTGGGCAGTAGACAAAATAAGTTTGGGAACCACTGATATAGAACATAATCTGGAAGACCACGTAGGCTACTTATTAAGTTTTTTTATTCCGCGCAGACGGAATCGCGCTCAACAGCTAGTAATAATATAAAAGAAGTGCATTTTCAAAGCAAGTCTCCAAACGGTACCAAGACACACATCGTAAATAGGAATAAAGCTCGAGTGAAATAAATACACATACTTGCAAAAGATTTACTCACACAACTGAACAAGCAAACTGAATGCACCAGTAAAGCTTTCTACAGAGACTTTATACTGTAGGATGTTTATGCAAATGAAACTATATGCATATACTGCATGTGAACAACTCGACCGCGACGTTTATATATCAATATGTTGATGTTTCATTTATTTTATGTTGCTTATCTTATTTTACTTATATTATAATTGCGAAAGTTTAGGTGGATTAGGTTAAAAACATAATGATCCAACCTGCACATATCTGAGAAGATATTCAAAGATATTTGTGAAGTCCCGCACTTGGCCAGCGTGGTTGACTATAGCCTAATCACCTCTAACTTAGGGTAACCTAGGAATCCCTCGGTGGGGACGTATAGTGAGCTGATGATGACATATATTTAAACTAAGCTCCATCATACTTCTTCATTGTTAGGATAATTAATAATATTTAAAATCAATAGCCAATTTAATGTAAATACTGTAGAAATTCTAAAAGAATTTCCATCAAAAATATTCTTAAACATTCCAACAGTTTTCCGACAGTTCCTAAGCCACAGCATTCCAATGTCTTTCTTGGAATTTTTAATAAGCTTCAATAGAATATAGACAAGTTATATGTCGTACGCGAAGAAAATATTTTAATATACAATATTATTTACAAATTTTAAGACTGGCAGCTATAAAACTATACTTTCAGAATTTTATAAAAAAAAACTTTTATTAAGTTTCACACCTGTCTTACGTTTCACCAATCATGGAAATTAAATTTGATCCACTTCCCGATTACTGATTGAGTTTAAATTTTGCACACATATGTAAATCCCAATACAATACAATATAATGATGACGTGCTGACCTGATGATGGAGCTGGAAGATAGCCATAGAAAGTCCGCAATGAAAAGAAACAACCTCATCGAGAGATGTCCCTAATTAAATTGATATTTTTCTTTGTACTTTCATTCAACCAGTAATAATTATTTTCGTTTACAAATATTTCACAGATTGAATTTCTAGCAATTTCATGATCATATTCCTCGTCATATTCGGCACTCCTCGAGTAATTTTGTAGAGTACTTCGTAGCTAGAAATTTAATGATGGTCTACAAGTCTATTGCTCGTTTTTATCGTCTTCCCCAAGGAAAATATATTTACGTCGGGAAAAATATTTTTCTTCCAACATTTTCAAAGAACATTTTCAACATTACAGCGAGTTCTCAGTAACATTTGAGAAAAGTTTCGTCATTGCATGTGCAAACTACTTATAAACTGAATATTTCCAATAAATTCTTTTTTAATAATAATAATAATAACAATTTCTGAATGGATTGATAGCGAAGAGCTTCGACCAACATCTCAAGAAGCTCACGCTAAACAGTTGGATTAAGGGCCCGATACAAAAGGCAGTTATCCTAGAAACCGCGCGCATCGTGAGAAGGTTCCTGTCTCTGCAGCCCTGACCACTGGTTGTTTGAGTCATGGGATTCCGCAGCCGGTGGTGTTCTATTTTTAATATAATATGTTTTGTATTTTTTTTTTGGGTATGAAATGTACTATATTAAAAATATGATAAATAAATGAATACGAAAATAATAATTTTAGACATTATTAGTTACAATCATTTAGAGCGAATGGCGAGCTTTCGTTACCAAGTCAAATGTCAGATTGATTAGTGAGGGGACAGAAACGTTGACATTTTAATAAGGCTAGTGTTGCGCCGATACACCGGCATAGTGTCGGATTTTCTTCTTAACAATAAATAGATTATTATTTAAATCTACCCCTGTTAAGAAACTATACAATCACCAAGTAACGTAGGCTGTATTTGTTACTCTATTTTTTTAATTCCTCGTGAACGAAGTCACTGGCAACTGCTATAAAAAGAAATGTAGTAATAATTTTCGAAGTGTTAAAGTGAGTTTGTTTCAAATGCCAGTATAATTAAGATAAAACGTAGCTGCAAGAAGATTTAAAGTTCTTAATTAGCACGAAACTCTTAAGTAGATTTATTTCGTAGACAAAACAAATGCAGAATAAATTTTATTCGCCTTTTTAAAAATTTACTTACTTTCTTATTTATTTTAATTTATATATTTCTTTTGAAAATATAACTTTTTAATCGTTTTAAATTACGCCTTTATACCTATTTTTTTTTATATTTATAAATCAATTTTATTTTATTATGTTTATAAATCAAATGCAAAACCTATTATTGCGTGTTATAGTGAAAGTCCGTTTGGAAGATAAGACTTTTAATTAATTGAATAATATTACAGTGTAGTACGTAATCAATACATCGTTGTTAGGACAGCGGCGGCGTCCCGGCAGTCGTGCGCGTACGCGTGTTTACAAAGTCAAGGCTCGCGGCTAACTAAGGGAACGGGGGAACTACGGCGGGCGCGCAGCCGGGCGGAATGCCGGGACGGAGGCGGGGCGCGAACAGTTCGTGAGGTGGCGTGATGTCGACGCGGTGCTATAACCTCCCCCCCCCAAGTCACTAGCACGACCCGGCGGTGACTTGGCCAGACGACCTCGTCGACGCGCATGTTCGATCGCGGTCAATTCTCCTACGTACGGAGTCAGAGCACTGGCATGATACTTGCCCCTAATGGCACCAGTACTATCGACAACTACAAATGTAGTTGGACTAACAACCTGTGAGACCTGATAAGGACCTTCTCTCCTTGGAACAAATTTATTAGTAATTCCCTTTGCCGCATTACTGGCTCTGTGGGTCTCCACGAGAACTAGATCTCCTTCTTTATATTTAAGGTTGTCTCTTCTTCGCTGATCTCCAGCGGCTTTCCTAATATCTTCCTGATTTTCAACTCTAATAACAGGACATTTACGACATGATTCGGCTTCTTCGGTCACTTCCACCGAAGCATCAACATGACGACTAAGAGTGTCGTCGACGACATTTACATTTTCAGGATTATACTCAATGTCCAGATTGTACGATTGTATTTTCATGGCCCACCTGGCCAGACGACCACTAGGCGTCTTCAGAGTCAAAAGCCACTTTAACGGTTGATGGTCAGTAGCTATCTTAACATGACTTCCTTCTATGTACGAGCGGAATTTATCCAAAGCCCATACAACTGCAAGGGCTTCTCGCTCTGTAGTATGATAGTTGCGCTCAGCAGGGGTCAGCAACCTGCTGGCGTACTGTATTGGACGCTCGTTCTTAGGGTTTTCACCCTGCATCAATACGGCGCCTAACGCATATCCGCTAGCATCGGTTCGTAGAGTAAACGGCTCTTCAAAGTTTGGCTGGCGTAGAATTGGGCTAGTGGTTAACCGAAGCTTCAGCTCTTCGAAAGCTCGTTGCTCTCCCTCCCCCCATTGCCAACGTCGGTTCTTCTTTGTCAAGTCCGACAAGGGCCGCGCTATATCTGAAAACTGCGGAATAAACTTGCAAAACCACGCGCAAGTTTGCAAGAATGTCCTCAACCCTTTCAGGTTCGTCGGAGGCTTCATTTTCATAACTGCTTCAACCTTCGCAGGATTAACCCTGTATGGCGGGCTAGCAATTGGCGCGGCATCTCCAGTATCGATTCGGTGAACAGCAAATTGAGTAGGTCCTCCCCCCGGAGTAAAAATGTCCTCGTAGACATTCAGGAGGTCAGATAATTGCTGTCGTTCATCTGAAACCAGATGGGTACCTTCGTCACTGCGAAGACCCACAGACGAACAATGAAGTGGTTTAAAAGAGCGAGTTTCAAAAATGATAGGTTGAGGAGTCCTATCATGTCTCACAGACCACGTATCGAGATCAAAGTCGAGTAACACGCCAAACTCCTGAATATAATTCATCCCTAATAAACTTTCAGTCGCGTCGGGAAGCATAATAAAATCAACAACTCGCGGTACCCCTCGAACTGTTACGCTCACGTGTGCTAATTCAACAATTTGCGCACACATGTGTCCGTCAGCAAACTTAAGTTCTAGATATACATTTTCAAATTGATGACCATACTTGGTTAAGTGAGCTCTTAAGCTAACACTACCTATAGAGTGCTTATCACCTGTGTCCACAAGCACTGTACCTATTTCACTATAAATTTCTATTTTTAACACGGGACGCACTCGCGAATCTATTTTATCACACGCGGATACTGATTGGAACGAACTCGATACGGTTTCTACCGGTTTCTTCTCTTTACATGTCGGGCAGTTCGAACGTATACGCCCTGGCGCACCGCACCCGAAACACGTAACTGTCGGTTCCTTCCTCTCTGTTACGCCCTCTTTGGCTTCAAAAGACTTTCCCGCCAATTTCTGACATGCCTCCTTGAGATGACCATAGCGCTTACAGTAAGCGCACTGCGGTCGCCTACTAGGTACTGACGACGGCGTAATCGATGACTGAGCACTGCTCGATGGTAACATGGATAATGCCGGCTTAACGTCTACCGTTGTATCCGATGGGCGAGACTCATTAAGGATGTCTTCTACACGTCTCGCTTGCGCTATTAATTCTACAAACGAAGTAAGACTAGAACGAGGTACCTTTTCGCGTATTCTTTTGTTTAACAAGCCATACGTCATGTCTAATTGTACTTCTTCCGTGAGAGAACGTTGCGGAAGTTGCGCGAACAATGCTCTGATGTGACAGACGAATAAATCTGTAGTCTCGTTAATCCGCTGTTCGCGTTCAAAAATAATTCTAAAGATTCTGTGCGTGGGCAGCCTAGGCCCGAAGGTCTGCTTTAGAGATTCTAATGCGTCTTGCCATGTCGGGGTGCTGTCTTTGACGCCTTGCCACCAAGTAGCGGCTATCCCCGTCAATAACATGGGCAAACCTCGCAGCGCGACATCGTCGCTCATATTTACGCATGATTTGTATACTTCGACAGCATCGATGAAAGCTAATACGTCGCTTGTTTTGTGTCCATCGAACCGCGTAGAGCACTTCGCAAAGTTGCCGGAAATATGTGTAGGAGTACTTACAGGAGCTGCTTGACTTAGCCTGTTTATCAATAGCAGTAGCTGCTCTGTGGTCATAGTGATCGAAGCCTCAGCGGCAGTTGCAGCTGGCGGCGGCGGTAGGGCGTGACCCTGACCCGCAACAACGGCATCACTGTGCCACGAGGTAGTCGTTGGCGGCGCCGGCGCGGCCTGCAGGTCGCGCGGCGTCGACTCCGGCGCGCCATCTACCGGTAACAACGGCGGCACCACGCCCGCAGACGAAACACCGGCCGCGGCAGACGCGGGACTCGCAGCACTTGATCGCGTTAACACCATAATGACACAGTAAAACACAGGTCACAGTTCTTGAACAAAAAGTACTTTAACCTAACTCAAACTTAGTCGGTCGGCACACTCGTAAGTATACAAAATAGTTCAAACAAAATATTTTTTTTTCTTTTTGAGTTAACCGCGTCCATACAACTAAAGACTTATAGACTGACACTAGAAGTAAGTTATTAAACAATAATTGTCACTGGTTTTCACAAAAAAATGTTCTTACGACGAATGACGCAACAATGTAAATGATTACGTAATAATTAACGTGCGCGGATGCCGTAATAGTCGTTTACACACACGACTACAAACGAAAATACGACGATCCGATAATGTAACCTAGGTACAGGTACAGTACACCCGAAACAAAACCTAGCAACAGTTACTACGCACGTCGAGACATGTCTCGACAAGTCCACTGCAATACACGAGCACAGTTAGTAACAACATTTAAACTGAACTGTTTTTATTAAAGCTCCACGTTGGGTTGCCACTTATAGTGAAAGTCCGTTTGGAAGATAAGACTTTTAATTAATTGAATAATATTACAGTGTAGTACGTAATCAATACATCGTTGTTAGGACAGCGGCGGCGTCCCGGCAGTCGTGCGCGTACGCGTGTTTACAAAGTCAAGGCTCGCGGCTAACTAAGGGAACGGGGGAACTACGGCGGGCGCGCAGCCGGGCGGAATGCCGGGACGGAGGCGGGGCGCGAACAGTTCGTGAGGTGGCGTGATGTCGACGCGGTGCTATAGTGTTCTATTAAAAAATATTTAACAAATAGGCTTCTCAAAATACTATAGTATAAATACTATAATATTAAAAGTGTTACCGTGGATTTCTAAATCCAAAATTACCGTATAAAACATTTTATTAACTCTGTCTTCTCATACATGAAATATATAAAACACGATATGTTTTATACAGAGGTTTTGGTATCAGAAACCAACGGTTAGAGCTGTGATTCCCAAAGTGGTCTATACCGACCCCTAGGGGTCGATATAGACCACTATGACAACCTGCAAGGGGTCTACGTCAGCGAAAAAAATATTTCGGGGTCCATGAAATGAAAATAAGCGTTCAAGATAGTATAGTACCTATTTACTTACATCATACTATCGTATAGTAACAAAACATATACATTATTTATAAAAGTACCTATGAAGTAAAAAAATTATTATTTATGTTTGGAAATTTACAGGACATCAATATCAGGGGGTCTACCCAACACAGAAAAACATGGCCAGGGGTCTACGACACAAAAAAGTTTGGGGAACTCTAGGTTAGAGAATGAAATCCAGTTTTGTCAAACCTATATAAAGTGGAATAAGGAATACAGGAAGATTCATGCTCAACTTCAAACAGTATTGCATGGATAATGCTTTGAATATAAAATCCATTGAAAACTTGTCTACTCTGAAAGTTTATTTCAAGTTCTACTTCTCAGCAGTCGAGTGTCACAGTTTAGTTTACATTTTTCGCTTTTGAAATAGACGCCATATTAATCTTCTTCTTCGCATCCTTCATTACTGAAGGTCGTGCTCGTCTTGTTATGCTTATACGGCTGCGTCGATCAGCTGCCTCCACACCGTCCTGTCTTCGGCTTGTCACAGGGCAGTGGTGATATTGAGTCCCAATATAGCCGGCACTTGATCGGACCAGCGGGTACGTGATGAACCCCGTGACCTTTTATCCTCTATCTTGCCAACCACAACCAATTTGTTCAGATTGTCGCGTAGTCTCCGGGCTTAAGTAATAATAGTAAGATACCAATCTTACTAATAATAATATAAATGAGAATGTTTGGATGGATGAATGTTTGTTTGAAAGTATCTCTAGAACAGCTGCATGGATATTCCTGAAATTTGGCATAGATGTATGTAGAACACAGTTTGGAAGAACACACAAGTTACTAATTAAGTTTTTTTTTATCCGCGCGGACAAAGTCGCGTGCGGTTGCTAGTAGGCTAATATATAATTGTTTAACTCACATATATTTGTGCGGTGTTGGCACCGACTAATTCCGAACACATTTGGAGCCCTTCATCAAGATGAGTGGGACTGGTATTATTTTGCGGACACTGCCCGTCACTCACTCTAATAATAGATTTTTTTACATAAGGTTTTTTTTAGATCTTATAATTCATTAGATATTTAAATTTAAAATATAAAATTGAGGACAATTCCTCAGTTTAAATGCAGTTGTAGTGAATATTGTAGACATTAATAACACTTGGTGGTTGAAACTAACAACGCTAATGTATATTTAATTGCAACTATAATTTTCATTTAATAGTTTCTCATTTGAATAATAATAAATTCTTTCCGCATTTTGTAAAGTGGCAGTGTTCCAAGTGTGTAGATGTTTGTATGGGTGACAATAAAATTACTTGCTTATTAGACATAATATTTAATACCTATTATATATAAAAGAAAGTCGTGTTAGTTACACAATTTTTAACTAAAGAACGACCGATATGGCTGAAAATTGGTGAGGAGGTAGCTTAGAGACAGGAGACGGATATAGGATACTATTTATTCTTTTTTTTCGAATTTATGCCTTGAACAGCTGCTTTTTATTTAACTTAACTATATTATCTTATCAATCAAAAGTTGTTTCTTATTATTTATAGAATGTATTTCTGTACTGTTCATTGCGATTTATTCAAAAGAGCATTAACCCTCCCGGGACTCATTTATATTCCTGACTTCTGCTAATTTACATGCTGGCCATATATATTCGACGTTGTACTTCTAAAATAACATATCATTAAGCATATGCATATTTTATGACTAAAAAATCAGTTCAATGAATTGTAACATAATTTTAAGAGTATTATTTCTGACATTATGAACATATTTTTACAAAGGTAAAAAGATTTTACGGTAAAAATTTTTGTCATGCAGAGTAGCAAACCTCAAAGTGTTATTTACTGTAATTGCCTACAATTTATGAAAGTAAATTCAGCCGAAAACCTTTTTAAGCGCCTCATTTATTCAGGATAAATGTTGCAGAATGAAAATTTCGCAGGCTCAGGACAAAAATAAGTGCTTTAAAACGAGTACCGGTGTGAAAAATCTCAACATAAACACGACTTAGTTCTTACTTGCAAGCTTAGTAAATAGTAAACTTTATATATCAAATTTAAATGCAAAATACAATAAATATTACTCAATAAATTAAGACATTAATCGACACAAATGTGAGTAAATATAACTATGACTGGCTTTTGCCCGCGACTTTATGCTCTATACTTGTGTCAAATTTCAATGTGTTTATCAGTTGCGGAGCTAACAAATAAACATGTTTAATTCACTTATCCCAAATGAACTGTACACATTTTCAGGATCATAGGTAGCCTAAGTTATCTTCCAAACTGTGTTCTACATCTATACCAAATTTCATAGAGATCCGTTTAGCCGTTCTGGAGATACCTAGTAACAAACATCATCTAAACATCCAAACTTTCGCATTTATAATATAAGTTAGGTAGTAAGATTGTAAGAGATGTTTTTTTTTGAAGGCAAATTATTCTATCTACATGCCAGCAACTTGAAATAATATTGTCTTTTGTTTTATTTTTAATAAAAGCTTTGTTTATGGTTAAAATATTCGAAAAAAAAGTTCTTTTAAACTCAGTGAACTGTAGTCACCCCCGCGATCAAAGCGAAGGGCATCGGATAACAGAATACTAACAGGGTTTTTAACGAACGTGTATCAAGGCATGCAGACTCATTAGCATTTAGATATTTTTTCAAATAACCTAGAATTTTTATATTATTAACTCTATTTTTGCAGCTAGACAGATACGAAAATAGTTGCTTCGTCCTTTCGAATTCTATAGTGGGAGTTCTTTTTAATAAATTCGATCGTAAGTGAGAAGTGTCTTTTATTCTTTGACCATACAATGTGTATTAAATTTTAAGCCCCCAACTTCCTCAGACGCATTCATAATTCGTGCCGTTTAACTGCGGCAAGTTTCGATGGCGATGTATCATTCTACTTGGCGGCGAATAGTTTCAATTGAAACTTTAATAATTAACTCCGACTGTACTATTACAACAATGGAGTTAATAGCTAACGTCTATTCACTGGAAATTAAATCTAACTCGTACTCTGAAACAATTCAGTATTGTAGTTACTCCTTAAGGTAGACATCTATATGAAATCAATCGAACTGCTTCAGATTTATATTTAACAACACATTAGAAGATAGAAAATTAACTAACTGGTATTTATTGGGAACTTACCAGGATAAAAAAGGCAATTGCAATGATAAAAACACATAAAATGTTTCATTTCCGGAATCGAATATAACCTTAATTTTAACTTATAAGGATATAAGTTACAGTTAAGTTACTTTTTTTCTAAGGATGGGAAGTGGAAGTGGACTTTCCGGATGAGAGGATTCATGTGGAAGGGAAGATATTTTCTTTCTGTGCATCCTCTCCTCCGTCGATTAAAGGTAGGCAACGCATATGCAATTGCGTATGTCTATGGGCAACGGTCACTTCGCTATTTCAGCGATTTCAGGTGGCCGCTTGCTCGTTTGCCACCTTATGATATAAAAAAAAAACTTATAGTTTCATAAGGTTATAGGGCTGTAGGAGTTAAAATTACATAACAGTTTTCCGTATCTTTTATCCACAAACATCATAATTATGATGTTATCTAATGATTCCTCTTAATACCAACCTAACAAAGATAACAATTGAAATATTTCTGACGAAGTATTATGATAATCTCTCAGATCAGTACATCGTTATATTGCGTAGCAAGAGATAGGATTAATCGCGCAGGTTTGCCGATGATCCCCTCTCCAACTAACATCAACAGCGACCCGCTTCTCCTTTGGTTAATACAAATAATAGTCAGTTTGCGGGTGACGTCTTTAAGTCATCGGCAAGGATTCTGTGCTCAAGTAATAACCTAAAATATTTCTTATCTTAATTAATATGATACGAAACTTTTTCTGTTCTTTCGTCACAGATATTTTAAAGCCTTTTAACTAGAAAAATAAAATAAAAAAGGAACACATACTGGTGTTTGTTATGTTTGTATAATAATAGCTGTCGCCCGCCACTCGGTAAGCGCGGAAATAAAAAAACACAATTAGTAGCCTTCGTATTCTTCCAGACTATGGTCTATATGTATGGAAAATTTAATCGAGATCCATTCAGCCGCTCTGGAGACACCTACAACATCCATCTATTGATACAAACATTCGCATTTATATTAGTAAGATGTACCTTTTGTGTTTATGAATGAAATGAATCCTCAGTCCAGGTAGATTAATAACTTCCAAACAGTAATGACAAAGAGATTACTTACTTTATAGTGATTAATCTCCATTCGTTCCGAACAAAGATAGTTATGCAAATTTTAATTGAAACACCCAGTGGACGGAATCGGATTTGCTTTTCTAATCCACGAGAAGGACGCACGCTTAAATTCGCAGAATTAACTGTCTGGGGATATACTTTCGGGTTTACGTCGCTGCCCCGTTTTGAATATAAATTCTCTAATCTATTTAGTAAAAGTTTACACGTTTTAAGATTAATTGAGATTCACTTACAGTCCCGATTTTAATTAGTCGATTCACTAAAATACGAGCTAATGAAGAGGGGTTAAGATAAAGTTAATGAAAACTTTTTATCGAGATGTTACGAGATATATAATATAATATAATTTTTTTTTACTTTTAATTCCAGATCTTACTAACAACATGATAACAGTATTATGATAAATC